TTATTGCATATTCCAGCGCATGTATGTACATTTATATATTTGTATAAAACATATATTGTTTTTAATTTTTTTTTTTTTTACCAAAGCGATAGATTGGTTTGCAAGGACGAAAAGGATTTCAAAACCAGCTCTGACACACAATGCCAGGCCTTTGTAAGGCTTTCTGTGCAAAGCAGCAGCAGGGTACAAATTTCTGATCCACTTCAAGGTTAATAAGCTCTGTCTCAGTGCACTTTCTGCACCCACAAGCCAGCGAAGTGCATCCACCACAAAGAAGCCGCTTTCCATTTAGCATCTTGTCTCAAGCCGGGCATTAATCACTAGGGTTACAGTAATGGTTGTGATCATTACAGCAGAGACGCCTCCTGAATTTTAAGTGGGGTTTGCGGGCCTCGGGGGGCAGAGACTGCCAGGAAAGGGGGTGTCTGCTCAGCAATGGGGAGGGAGTAGACAGAGACACCACGGCCTAGTGTTTGCCTGCTGTTTTCTGAGGTGCTCACTTCCTGTTGGAGTGCACTGGAAGGTATGAACTGTTCAGAATATCAGGCCTTGATGCATGACAGGATTCCTCTTCATTGCCCTCCAGTCCCTTAGTGCCATCCCTCTCCATTCCTCTCTATCGTTCTCCACTACCTAATTGCCGTTCCTTTCCATTCTTTTCTATTCCCCTCTGCTGCCGTATTGTCATTCTTCTCCATTCCTCTCTGCCTAGTGCCGTTCCTCTTCGTTCCTCTCCATTCCTCTGCTGCCTTATTACCATTCCTCGCAATTCCTTTCTACTGCCTTCCTGCCATTCCTCTCCATTCCTTTCTGCTGCCTTACTGCCGTCCTCTTGATTTCTCTCCATTCCTCTCTGCTGCCTTACTGCTGTTCCTCTCCATTCCTTGTTGACGTTCCTGCTTTCTTCATCCCTTTATAGTCCATATTCTTAAAAGCAGGTAATCCCCTGCTTATTATTCTGTAATTAGTGCCATAACCCGAGCACCCTGTTATTTCCATATTCTGACACGGCTGATCTGATTATGCAAAATGAAAACATTGAAACAAGGAAGCCTCTTAGTTTGGTCTGCACCCTGTTCAATTTGCTTAATCACATGGCAGCGCATGGCCGTTATATTAATTATGCATATAGTAATATTATATCTGGGATATGGATGGATCGAAAGGATGAAAGGAGGCAGTCTGCATGTAATAGTGTGTGTAAGTATCCGCGTGTCAGACGTTTCTCTGGCTGCCTACTGTAGAATAAGCCATGCAGGCGGAAGGTTAATTTCTCACTATAGACACCTTTTAAAGGAGGCCAACCAAGACTCATTCAAACCCAAAGTAAACACTTATCTCATATTTTTAAGTTCTGATTGATGGAGGCTTGTAGCTCAGTGATTTCGGGTGCTGTGCTCATGCCCAGACAGTCATGGGTTTGAATCCAGTGGCCACTACAGTCACCTTGAGTGTGACTCTTAACCTCTGCTGTTCCCAGGCTTTCCTCATATGTACATCACTTTGTACCATCTATCTAATAAATATGTAGATGTGCTGAGCTGAGTAGAACACCACATGTGTGTTTTATGGTAACGACTCCCTAATTACCAACACATCAAACTGAGCATGCAGCTGGATTCCTGCCTGCATTCTTACTCCCGCCTGCTGCTTGACAGTCATGTCCATCCATCCATCCACCTCCCGCGACGAGCTGGCTGCTGACAGTCTCACCGTGCGAATTTCACCACGGTTTGCATGACCAGAATTTCACATAAGCCACAGGAATAGATTGGGCCCTGCATTCTGTTTGATTTGACACCGAGGAGGTAAATAATTCAGGGCATAGCTGAGCCAGAGCGTGCGTTGCAGGGGAGCCTTTGGGGTCAGTAATGGTGTTTTCTTTGGTTTTTGGTAGTTCTGATAATGAAATGGTGTTATGACCCTGAGATATGGAAGAGCTCAGACATGCCGTTAGCTTCCTCTGAGCGTCACCCTTCCTCCTTTGTTACATTGCCATTGATCTACATCTTTACTGCTGTCCCAACAGATCTATTTAGCTTGAAAGACTGGCTCAGCACCCGCTGATTGGTCTCTGTACTCCTGTTCTCTCAGCTGACTTGCATCCTCCTTGCATCCTCCCGCCACTGTGATATCCTTGCCCCTAAAACCGATCCGAATCAGAGCGATTCCCCGCGGTGCCGGAATTAGAGACCCCTGTTAGCTTGCTGTCACATCGTGTCCATGTACTGAGGCCTCAAGCAGCCACTTCCAGAATGTTTTTTTTAGATTTCCATTTACCATCCATTTCCTGCAGCTTAACAGTTTCAGATCCAGTCTAAAATTACCTGCCCCATATTGAACACATTAGAGGTGTCTGATACTTTTCTGGGTGCATTCGTCTTGGACACGGGTTCTGTATAATTTATTTTCTTAACCTGTGTAAACATTTCCCACACGTGTTTATCAAGCCATCGGTTAATATTAATAAGGTGCAATTCTGCACAATTACTGGCGAGTTATAAGCTAATCCATCAGCCGCGTGCATGCGAGAGGAGACTTCTTAATCCATCAGCACGGGATGTGGGCGGCATTAGTGTAATATCGGGCAGCATCAGCGGCAGTCTTCCACTGCATTATTCATGCTGATGTTCTTGACTGACTCTGGGGGGAATAGCGCACCGTTCTTCATTAATATTTCATCACTACCACTTCAAAGTGCGCCTTTGGGTTGGTGTTCACTGGATCTGTCGCTTACTTGTTCTGTGGGAGCTGGAGGGGGAACAGACGTCTACACAATCCCTCCCCCTCCCCTGTCTGCTCCCAAGGAGTCCTCCGATTGGCTGGTTTGCCAGTCTGTCTGTGAATTTGCACTTATGATGCTGTGTAATGATTGGGCATGGTCAGAAGTGGATAGTTCAGGTCCAGAAAGTAGAAAGTAGCAGATTTTGTTTCAACCAACCAGTTGAGTACTCTGTGTCTGTGACTCTTTATACTCAACTGGTTGGTTGAAACAAAATCTTAGTCTGGATTTCTACTTTCTGTACCTGCACTTTCCACCTCTGGGCATGGTCTCCCAGCTTGACCTCACTGCCAGTCACAGGTGATCAGAATCGCTGATGCCCCCTTTATCTCCTTTGCATTGGTTTAAAACTTCTGCATTGCACAAGTTCCCACAACAGTGTAGGGCTGGGTGATTAATCGAATTTTAATTTCAATTGTGATTTTGGCTTCCAACAATTATCAAAACAAAATTATTCATTTCACAGAGATGCTCCCATTTTGTCTTGTGTTATAAATCCAGCAAACCCCTTTCCAGCCCCTTTTTATTTGTTTCTCAGTTGAATCATATTTAGAGTTCAAGGAAATTCGCTGTTAAAGATTTTTATGTTAAGTAATAAATCAATACTATTTCTAAAGACAGTGAGTAATTGTGTCAAAAAATTGTGATCTCAGTTTTGACCAAAATAATCGCAATTATGGTTTTTGCCCTAATTGAGCAGCCCCACAACAGTAACGGTTTCTGTCATTCATGCATCTTCTATAACCACCCATCACGTAGAGGGATACTGGGGCCTATCCCATGAGGCACAGGGCCATGGTGGCAGGAGCGTACTCAGACACGGCTTCGGCTAACCGCATGCTTTTGGACAGCAGGAAGGGCTGTGCTGCCCGTCAGAGCCTGAGGCTTCTGCGTTACCCACAGTACTGCATCAGCTCTCTGTCACTATAATAAAGTTATCAGCTGAAATGTGGCTTTGATACAGTCATCACAGGCCATCATACGTGCTTCACCGGCACTAGTTAGAAACATATTGAGCTCATTAGCCCTGTATGGATGCCCAGCACAATCCTTCTAGTGTTTGCGTTACTCAGTGGAAAAATGGCAGCGCCAGCGGACGGCTGAAGACACAGACTACATCTTGCATGCATTTCATTTTTTTCTGGGGAAAATTTGTTCTCCATGACACATAAACATTTTTGGTTTTCCTTCACTACCCCCATTCTGCTTATGTTTATGTGCCAGTCAAAAGTTTGGACACACTTACCCATAGAAAGGATTATTTGTGCTTTTTAGAATAGCTCTGTAGCTTGTGATTCAGAAGGCTGCCGGTTCAAATCACTGGGTCGGCAGAGTGATGCCACCATTGGGTCCTTGAGCAAGGCCCTGAATCAGTTGCTCCAGGTACTGGCTGACCTTACTGTCTCCTCTATGCCAGTATCGTGAAGTGGCCTCCTGGGATGCTTGTCCAGCCTTCCTGAAGGAGGCCCCACATTGGCTGCTTTCCCTTCACTCTCTGGTGAAACTCCTCCAAAACCACTTCTGTTGTGTTTATGTCTGGTGTCCAGGTCATGTGATGTGACACTCACTCTCCCGGCACTGTGCATGATTGTTTCCCACATGTCTAACCATTCCACCCACATACAGTAACGAAGAAAGTCCGACTTGCTTGCTTGATTACGCGCGTCGCTGACCATTGCTGAAATACTCCAGATTCACCCTTGTCCCCACAGCCCCCCCCCCCCACCCCTTTTAGAGATCCCCTGTTGGGTTTTTGTTATCTCTTCCCGATGAAGCTGTCAGCAGCCTGGCTGATTGGTCTGTGCTTGGTGTCTCACTGTGGATCTGCTGGCCCAATCCAGGCCTGACCGTTTCCTTTTCTTACCAAGTGTCATCCTCCTGGTAATAAAATAAAGCAAAAAAGACTATTTTGCTGTTTACATACAAGAGACGGCTGGTCATACATGATTATCATCATGTAACATCATGTTCAACTTAATATGCAGTATGTACAGTGAATATTATCATATTGGCTGCCACGAAAATCCCTTTATCTGTCCATTTTCAATATCTGCCTGTGTAGTTTTGGTCTCGGGTCTGTGATTCTCCCCAGTAATTTAAGGTGTGAGGTCAGCTACAGTGTGAACCGTGAAATTGCACGAGCAGTGAAATCGGACTGATGATAATAGATAAAGTCTGTTATTGTGCGCGGGTCTGTGAGCCTGTCTGTGCCCCACAGATGACAGCGCCTCAGCAGCCAGCAGTATGGAGGTCACTGACCGCATCGCCTCGCTGGAGCAGCGCGTGCAGATGCAGGAGGATGAGATCCAGCTGCTGAAATCGGCGCTGGCTGACGTGGTGCGGAGGCTCAACGTCTCTGAGGAGCAGCAGGCCATGGTCAACAGGAAGGGACCCACCAAAGGTACCACTGACACCCTCACCATCATCAACATCACCATCACCATCATCAACATCACCATCACCATCATCAACATCACCATCACCGTCATCAACATCACCATCATCAACATCACCATCATCAACATCACCATCACCATCATCAACATCACCATCACCGTCATCAACATCACCATCATCAACATCACCATCATCAACATCACCATCACCATCATCAACATCACCATCACCGTCATCAACATCACCATCATCAACATCACCATCACCATCATCACCATCATCAACATCACCATCATCCACACACGGTTCACACAGACACATGCAGACAGACACCCCGTTACTAATCTCCCCGAAAGCTCTTTTTTTCACACTCCGATTCCATCCAGGGACACTGTGAATTAGGTGAATATCACTCCCGCTAAACACTTCATAATGAAGTGAGCGTGAGCAGCACACAGTGCTCAGGGTGGGCCTGAACGCTGCGCTGAACCCCGCCAAACCCCGTTTATCTCTGCTCCAGTGATGCAGGTCGGGGAGGTTCAGTCCATCTGTTGACGTGTGTCTGAATTGAAATGAAATGGGGATTTTAAAAATTGCCGTGGGGTGGGGGGTGATGGGCAGAACTGGACTTTAGCGACAGAGTGCCAGTGATGTAGAAGAATCCCCTCCCCCACCGGGCAGCCTTACTCCCTGAGTCAGAGATTTTCCATTGCCATGCTCTCCTCTTTCACCTGCCTCCCTCTTTCCTGCTCACTCATTACTGCCTTTCCTCAGACAGCAGCAATGCTAACAAGGCAGGTAAGCTGCCTACCCCCTGCTCCACATACCCGGGGTAACCCTGCTCCACATACCCGGGGTAACCCTGCTCCACATACCCGGGGTAATCCTGCTCACCATCACGTCACCTCACCAACTCCCCACTCTGATGTGGCACAATAAGGGCAGTAATTTGCACAGGGGCTGCCCTGACACACCCAAAGGCATGCGATTGTGATGTCACAGGGCATCCAAAGGTGTGCTGTTGTGATGTTACAGAGCACTCAAAGGTGTGCAGTTGTGTTGTCATGTGGGAACCCAAAGACGTGTGTCGTTGTGATGTCACGTGGCATCCAGAGGCATATGGTTATGATGTTATTGGGCATCCAAAGGCGTGTGGCTGTGATGTCATGCAGCACCAAAAAGCATGTGGTTGTGATGTCACGCGGCACTCAAAGGTGTGCGGATGTGATGTCACTGAGAACCCAAAGGTGTGTGGTTATATCATGCGACACCCAAACGTGCGTGGTTGTGATGTCACAGCGCACCCATTTTCTTTTCCTCATCTTCCTTCAGGGGGAAAACACTTTATTGAACTCCACCCAAAAACTTGTATGTGTTTGATTTGTTTTGTCACAGCCTCCTAATTTAAAGCTAATGCAATAAATAAACTGGAGAGGCCCATCTGATTACCAGTAAAGCATCCCAGGAGACTACGGGAGAGAGAGGCCGCTTGACCTGACCCTGTGACTGACAACCAGCCTCCGACCCCTGGGAGGAATAGCTGTTCTGATTAAGGTCCTGTGTAAGCAGCTAGTCTCCAGACTGGGGGTCTATTAGCGACTCCCTGTTTGCCGATTGCTCTACATATTTGCCTGCTGGCTTCTGTAATTCAAAGCCCTCTCTTCCTGCTGATGTCTGTGGCAGCTTCTCTTCTGTTCCTTCTGTCTTTTTTCTCCACCCTATACATTATTTATGCCCTTTGCCGTCAGGAATTTCACGGCCCGCTGCGTTGCCAATTGCACAACGCGCCCCATCCGTGGCCGCCTGGCCGGGCCCTCAGTCACTGGCAGGGGTGCTGGGACTGGGCCAGGGCGTGCCTCTCTGCGCGTGAGGCCACCATAACCCCCCCACACTCCCCCATCCAGTCTTTTTCTTCCCCTCTGAAGCAATGTCTGTCCGTTCAGTAGCTCATTAACAGGCGGGCGTAGCGATTCAAACCGCAGCTGGCCCTGCTGTGATAAACATTTGAAACGATACAAGAAAAAATTTTAAAATTTCAAGTCTTTTTTTCCCCTTTTCCCTGTGCAGCAGTCCGATGCAGGGAAACGTGTGTCAGCGTTTTTCCGTCTGAGGGAGGGACTGATTAGCAGGGATGTTCCAACGGGGGGGCTGTAAAGAGGCGAGTTTGGACCGCTGGCAGGCCGGCGGCCTTCAACAGAAGCTCTTCACTCATGCGCGAATGGGGCATCTACAGAGCTTATAGTAACTGCCCTCGTATGGTATCCATACAGAATCTGCTAATGGTTTGCTGTCCTGATCGCACTCAGAGGATGAGCTTGGGACTGCCTTGGTCAGTATTGCATTAGCAATACCAAGTGATGGATACTTAGTTGCTACTGATATATTAATGACTTCATTTTTCGAGCCTGTTTTGCCTGTAATGGTCGCACATGGCATGTGTCTGTCTGACTGACCCATTGAAGAAAATGAATTGGATGGCTTACAATTGAATTTAAAGATCAGCAGCTATAGATTTTTGGATTTTATAATTAGATTTATAGAACAAAGAAACCATTCCGAGCACTGTTTGTAATAAACGAGTGCAGTAGATTCATCCCTCCTTCTACGAACACACTCTATAACAAACAGTCTCGTTTAGTCCTGGCACTTCAGTTTGGTTCTCTGCTTGGTAATGAATGGCGGACTCAGGCCGCACGTGCGCTCCGTGGACATTTAAGGAGTAAGGGGATAGATCACCCTGAGCATTTTTATCGGTCTAAGCTAGCATGCACTTTTTTTGGCAGCCATTGGAGTGACTTTTTTTCTTAGGGTTTATCTGCATTTATCAGTGTGATCATGGCCCTTAAATGTGCGAGCATTTAAAAAAATCATTAAAAAAAAAACAAAAATCCATTAGAAAGCCATTACTGTTGTCTGTCTCCATTCACCTGCATCTGCTGTTCATACGGTTTTATTTGGAGTAAAATACAGTTATGAAAAGCACTGGAAGTGCTGTTTGTAGTGCAGACAGGAATGAAGAAGGTTGCAGAAGAGACGCCAGAGAATCTTATTGGTTACTGGTTATTATAAGATTTCATTTTGATTTGAAATTTTTTATTGGAATTTTCAGGAACTCATCCCATTCGAATGTACAGGGATTTGCTCTTTATAGATCCCTGAGCTTAATCCCTGAATCACACTGTTTGCCAATTTTTTACAGTTAAATAATTTGTATTGAATTCAGTGAAATAATTTCATAGTCTGCCTTTCTGCACAACACAGATGGAGCTTGCACACATTTGGCTGTGAGCAGATTGGCGTTTCCCCTTTGAGACACTCGATGGCCATCTCATTGGCTGGAGTGTCCAATGAGGTCATGTGATATGTGTGGCAGTTTGGTGAAGAGCTGAGGAATTCTGACCTTGAGGGAGAATAATTTCATCTGTCTTGTAGCGGGAGGTGGCACAGTCGTCCCTCAGGAATGCATGGTGTTTGTGACAGGGTGTCACTTTGTGACACGACGCATCCCCCCCCACCAGTGGAGTGGGTTCTGGCCCCAGCTCTCTCACACCCTCCATCTCTCTCTCCGCTCCGCTGCAGCCAGGCCCCTGATACCGGCTTTACCCCTGCGGCCCACAGTCAACAATGGCACAGTCCTACCAAAGAAACCCAGCACGTTGCCGTCCCCCTCAAACTCCCGGAAGGACACTGCAGCGTCAGCAACCAAGAGGTAAGGCACCGTCCTCCCCGTTGATGCCATTTACTGCCTGTTTGTGACGGGGGCACCAGGAATTTGGGAGCTGCTTCTGCTGCTGAGCCTGTTGTGGTCTATCTGGGATGTACCATTTACAGCTAACTCAAACAGCAGTTCAGTGTCTCAAAGCAAACCTCCCTATCCTCACTGTAACCCCCCCCCCCCCCCCAGACCAATTGGCCCTTTCTGGACACCATAGCTGGTCTTTCATTTTGGTGGCGTTCCTTAGTAGAGAGCGTGAAATAGGATGTTTTGATGTAGCTAGCATACACCTGTTTGGAGAGTCATAAGGACTAGTTTTCAGCTTTGTCCTGCGCAAGTGTCCATTGTCTTTCCTCGGTGCTTGAGTTTCCATCTGTTAAAGGGTATAAACACTCATCAGAAAGGGTAGCAGTAAGAAAAGGCCCACAGCACGTCATCTGTGAGAAAGAGCAGCCGTTCTCCCCTTTGCAGAGAGCCACATGTTGCCATGGTCACGGCCGCTTACATCTGTTGTCACCAGTGTTAGGTCCTGGATTGGTAGGAAACTGGGCAGTGTGAAACAAGGCCTGGTTTACTTTTTCGGTTGTCAGATGCAGTGTACAGCTAGTGCCCAGGCTAACGAAGCTGCTCACTGCAGAAGAGGCGCGGTCATTAACACTGGCTGGAGGGTTTGATATTTTGCAAAATACACGGCTGCCTTTGGCTCTCCTATCTGTTTGTTTACTGGAATTAATCCAACCCATTGTCCTAGTCACGCCCAGCAAAGCCACTCTGACCTGGAGGCACTGTGCTGTTTAAGAATTTCTGTCCTTTTATTGTAATTACAATTCATTTTTATCATTTGTTAGCTGTTGAGCTCCTCTTATTCAGGCATTTGGTACATAATGCCACCCATTCAAGACTTGAAATTTTGTAGCCACTTATAAATGGATTTTTTATTGAACAACTGAAGTGTTCAATTACAGTATTGAAATTGAAACCCCAGGGATCCAGAACCATTTGCTCTGACCACGGTCTGCTAGTTCTTACCTGACAGATGTAACATGACTCCCTGAAACATCTCGCTATTCCCTGCTATGTTATATTTTTTAATTTATCTTTATTTATTTATTGAAAGTATTAATTAATTTATGTGTTTTCAGGTCTCTGAAGGATCTGCTGGTTTAAATTGTAAAACATGTTTCTTCGGGTGTGTAACAGCCCATATACACTAAATCCAAGGCTAGTAAACCAAGGTTGAAGTTGAACTAGTTGCGTGACCACTGTCTCTGCTGAGTAATTACCTGCATGCACAGCTCACAAGGGGGTAAATGAAACAAAGGTTGCACTGACAACCCCATTTAATAGCTTTAATTATGCTCATTGTAGTCGATTACAGATTGTTTATCCCGGGTCGCAGGAGTGATGTCTCCTCCCTCTCGAGCTCACTGGGACCCTTGGAGAACTTGGATAAGCAGTGCTGTTGCTGCTTTATAGGGGAACGGTTATATCTGTTATATCTGCTTCATGTCACGCCCTTGTTTCCTGCAGCTGGGCTGGAGGCATCAGTAGCAGATTAATGTTGACCAGGTTGCTGGTCCCACAGAGCCATCGATTGTGATACTGACTAATTGATTCTGGAATCCATCACTGTAAAAAAATTGTCTCTACTTAGCCTAATAGCCCCTGTATTCCCTGCAGGTAATCAAACACATGTACTTTGCAAATGTTTTTCTTTCCCCTAACAACCTTGGGGTTGAGTGATTTTAAATCACATGTGGTAACTTATGCTGAACAGTGGGGCATTAACCAAGCACGGATGATATCTCTGTGCTTGATCAAAGAGCCCGAAAATTGGTAATAATTAATGTACAGCTAAACATGAGTCCAATGGTCATTGCTGTTCAACAAATTTTAACCCGTCTTGTCTTCAATATTACCATCATCCTGATTCTGAAAACCGACGCCCATTCAGAAACACCCAATAAACTGAACAATTTTCTTTTTTTTGTTAGAAAATAGTGCCATAGTCCAGTAGTCAGGAGACTAGCCAAGAGAAGAGACGGGGGTGGGTCACATGCCCACCTTTCTTGCATCTCATTGGTTCATCCAGGGGAAACAAAAGTAACATTTGAGGTTAGCGGCTAACAATGAGAGGGCCATACTGAACTTGATAAAGTGGCTCTGCAGCCTGATATCAGAGACGAACCTTCATCAGTCTTTTTCCCACTACCCACTGTCAGAAGCACAATGGCAGCATGTGCTCGATATTTATTTTGCTGTTAAAGTGTCCTATGGTGATGGATGGGCGCAGTTGCGGAGGACTGGGAAATGGACAGCTCCATCCCTCCATCCAAACATCCAACTCAATGACGGCACTGAGGTAGTCTCAGGGATTCCAGCACAGCATCGTTCTGTGATTCTGCTATGAAGTATGGATTAATATTTGGGTTTTGAGGTACCATAAATCATCGCTTAGCCTTTAGGGGGAGCTTTGGAGCACCCTGTCAGGCAGTCCACACTTAACAAATACTCCTCCCATATTAGCCGGACTGCTTATTTGGATCCAGCTTTATGTCTAGGTTGAGCAGGGTAATCCTCCAACAGCTCAGCAGGAAAAGAACAGGGGTGACGTGTAATTTCTAGCTAAGGGATATTATGGGCATTTATCATGCGTGAGTGGTCCTCTCAACAAGTCCTTCATACCAGGTGCTCTGGACTGAGAACATCCCCCCCCAGTGTCTTCCCCTGCTAATCTAAAGCCCACTCTGATCCACGGAATCCTGCCGTGCTGTTTGGTTCTGGTCCATAATCCCCAGCAGCTGGTCAGGCCTCCATGGCTGGGAGGACTGTGCCATCAAGGAAGGCGGCTAACAGACAAACTTCAGCCTGGAGGTTAAAGACGACTGAGAAGATGGTCACGGTTCCGGCCTAATCGCTTTTAAGAGTGAAACGTGTCCCTCTAACCCACGTGATTTTTCCTCTCTCCGAGATGCCATTCCCAGACAGTGTTATAATGGCAACAGAACAACCATACATATCGTACAAAGCATTACGTTCAATCAGATGCAAGATGCAATGAAGGGGAATGCAATTATGTAAATTGTTATGGTTTGAAAATGTAGATGTGCTTACGTTTGCAGCTTAGACGCAAGGTTCCTTGGCAGGGCAGCGGCTATTGCTGCTCGTTTGCCTGCTGTTTCTCAAACAAGGTCTCTTTCTCTGCAGATTGGGGCCAGCATCCCAGAGAAACACAATGCATCCTTCTCTAAATCACACAACAATGACGGGAGTGGCAGAAATACCTCTGTGGCTCCCTGTGCAAAAATTATTTTACAGTACATTAGATTTTATTTTTCAGTCCTGAAATTGCTTCGCTGCCTCACTAATTTAAGAAAAGCTATTAAAATGAACTCTGCAAACTCCTGTTTGCCATACAAATCAAATGGTCCATTGTGTTACCCGTTTAACTTGTCCTGTTCCTCCCACTGTTTGTCTCTCCTTGTCTTCCCTGTGTCACATGTGTCCCTTGTCCTGGTCCATCCAGTCTGTCCAGCTCATCCCAACTCTTCCGAGTGGCTCTCAGGTGAGGGTGCGGACTTGGCTCCGGGTCCCGGTTATGACATCATTTCCTCTTTTGCCTCTCTGTCTGCCCACTGTCCTGTCATACTTCCAGTACCCTGCTGCGTCCTTTTATATTGTGTGTTATTTTGTGTTGTGTTTTCGCTTCTAGACATTCCGTCTTTTAATTTGCGTAAGAAATTAGCCCCTGATGATGAGAGAGGAAATTACTCTTCTCTTCCAAAGCCTTGTTTCATACTCGCGAATTGGATTATAATGCATTGTTACAGGATGAGCTGCCTGTCCTCTCTGCACAGTGGATTTGATTTTCCACAGTGGCACAGCTCAGAGAATCAAAGCAAACTCTTTTCCATGGCTACACCTGGGATTTGAAAGCAATTTTAAAAGCCTCTCTGCCGGCCATTTCAAGAGGGAACTTGGCTCGCGATATGAGGCCATGGGTATAATCAAATTATGGTATCAAAAAAAATTCTCTGAGAGGCTGTCTCCTCCGTGGCATCAGCCCAGAAACGGCATCACATGAGGTCCACAGCATCAGCAGGAAAAATTCAGCTTGACTGAAGTGATTGTAATTGATTGTAATTGAAAATCTCACCCCACGCTTCTAACTCAGCGTAATGGCTAAGGGAGGGGTTCGTTCTCTCACAAGTCCAGTGTGCTCTCTCTGTCTCGTTATGTTTGCAAGGCTTTGACTGAAGTCCAGGTGAACCGGTGGCCCTGGTTTGCTGGATGTGCACGGCCGTGTGAGCGCTGCACGGTGGCCCCCCCCTCCTCTCCGGGGAGAATCCCGCTGTACGCGGTCTGCTTCCCGGATCGGCTCTGGAATCGGCACAGCCTTAATTGGATGAGCGCTGGCTGAGAACGAGCGGGCGGACTCCTCACTAGGAGCCACGGAATTGACTTTTGCCGGATTGAATTAGCATTCGGAAAATTGAAGGGTGACCGAGAGGGCAGGGCCAAATTTCCTATATGATTCAGCAATTTAAACATTTCGATTATAAAATAATGGGAGGAAATGAGGAGGGAAAATGGATCAGCGTCCAGCTGTAGAGCTGCTGTTTTAGTTGGGATTGTGAGTAAATAAGTCTCCTATTACGATATAGCCATCTGGCTGTGGGAATAGCTCCTGTTTCCTCGCACTTTCTGCCAGCTCTCTCTGCCGCGGTGCGCCGGGCCGGTGAAGGGAAAAGCCCCCCCCCATGTTCTCCAGCCAGCCTGTATATTTAACATCTCCCTCGGTGTTGATTAACTCCTGCCCTGACCGCGGCACCCTAACACATGCCATCTGAACCAGCAGCAGACCCACACGGCATTTTAAGAGGATAACCTCCCAGGCTAATGGCAGGTTGGCATGGGTTGATGCCCCCGCCATCCTGCGTTAGGCTGCCGCCTGGTCCCCAGCCAGCTGCTGACGGGGCTGCTGCTTTTCTCCATGAACTCCAGAGGAGATGCTGGCATTTTCAGAATAACTCAAAAAGCTAACAAAATGTTTTCCCGCCAGTGTTGGTGACTCATACTCACATTCCCATTCATTCCCACTGTTCAGTTTGTAAGTGTTGAAGCAGAATGCTGCTTATTTTTGACATTGCTTAGGAGGGTGTGGAATTTACCCAAGCAGCCTGTGCCGTTATCGCTGTGATTCCATTTCCACTGTATGAGACAAATGTTTATGCTGGGCTATTTTCCAGATCAGGTGGACACACAGTTCATCACGAGAACAGGACTATTGTCTTTGTGTTGCATGGGATGTGGGCTTTGCAGTTTTCCATTTGTTACCAGAGGAAAGATTCAATTTCAGCACCTGTGGAACATTAAACAGGCTGTGTTGTCAGAATCAGAATGAGATTTATTGGCCAAGTATCTCACACAAGGAATTTGGTTCCAGCAAATGGTGTCTCTCAAGTTATAAAGAAAATGAACATATAATTTGCAGTCAATACACAATATACAAGCAATACATGGATTATTTACAAGATAAGATACATACTTGAAGTGCAAACAACAATAATGAGCAGCAGGGGCGCCGTAAGGGGGAGGAAAGCTAGGACGATTCCAAGGGCCCCTGAGTGACAGGATTGTAACTGGATTGGTTTGGACTGGGGGGCCTAATATGGTATGCTTTCATGGGGCCCAAAATCTCTAGCAACGCCCCTGATGAGCAGTGCACATGGGAATGAGATTGTGGTGTTTGACCATTGAACACGATAGGAAACTCCACAGAAGGAGAACTAAAAGTAATATACATTATGTTCTGTGTTTAGAAAGTTTATAAATATTCAGCTGCAGTATGATGAAAAAAGATGTTTTGCAGGATGTTTTCTTATCCAGTTGTAGGGAGTGCATCTCAGATCAGTCCTGGGACCCATAGTAAAGTATCCTTGCAGACACAATATTTATAATCAGAATCAATATATGTTTTAGATAGTATTGTGGAGTATGAGCATAGCACATGTAACTATGAAGGGTTCATCCTTCGTCTAGCCTCATGGAGACATCACTTCTGCGTGAGTTATATGGTCGCGGCTGGTGATCTCATGGAGGTATTATCATTTCTCCCAGCACTGTGAAGAGAACCAGCTCCACCGAGCGCATGGGCACCTTGACGCGCAAGGAGAGCATCGGCGATACCAAGAGCAGCCGCACGCGCGCCGGCTCCACGGGCAGCAACTCCAGCGGCAAGCGGACCAGCGAGAGGTAGGAGCCGGCCCGGCTCGCCCCTGCAGGAGAATGGGCTGCGCGAAACCTTAGGGAACTCACTATACTTTCCTGAAAAATCAGGGGAAAGTTAGGAATGTTTTCTATGGCCCCTCGTCCCCGTTGTGTGACTGTCTGTTTTCTTCCTTGCCGCAGCAAACAGAAGGAGCCCGTGTTCAGCGCAGGTAAGCATATGGCCCAGCTGTGCTCCACCCCCCCCGTCCTTCACGCGCTGTAATGCTCTGTCGCTAGCATCTCGCTCATTCCACAAACTACTGCTCCCAATTTTCCTTTCCTTTCTTCACTTCAGTTGTTTCTTTCTCTCTTGCCATCTGTTTTCACATCGCTTACCTTTATCCAGAAAGGTGTCAGAAGCGAGTCTGCTCTCATTCGCAAATTCATCAGAACCCACCCCTCTGCGGGAAGCCAGTTTATGTTATTGATTAGCAATGAAATGAATCTGCTTGCTTAATTTTATTGGTAAGCCTTTAAGGGAATCCGTACTTAATTGTAAGGGTGGGGCCGGGTGTGTGTGCCTTGGTGGGGGTGTTACTGCTTAAGGCTACAAGGCATATGGCATATTCTGCTGAGACCTCACAATAAACCACTTGCGTTAATCACCCCTCGGTTGCCTGCCTTGTAAAATCAATGGGTTCCTGCAGGCCAGGGAGTTTAAATAAGCAGCACAAGCTCTCGTTTTGGTTTTCCCCAATAAATATGTAAATCATCCACGAGACCACCCCCCAAAGCTGAGATTAAGCTGCTGATCTTCAAAATGAAAAAACTTAAGCATTCCGTGACCCGAGATAACCCCTTAAAACCCACCCTGGATAATACTGTCCTTATTGTAAATGAACATAATGGACAGAAGAATAAGAAACAAAAGCAATAAAAAGTAATCAGTAGCTAACAATGTATCCAGCTAATGCAAAGTGACATCAAAACGACACATAAAAAGGGCAATCATATCAGTTCAAGCGTATTAAGCCCTAAATCCGGCCAAAAGCTGTGATTTGGCCATGGGTACCAAGACAGTCTGTTATTCCATTTGCTAACACTTCACTGTAACTGCACCTTCATAATGCCTTCATAAAGCATTCACAGAACATTCAGTGCACCTTCATAGCGACTTCAAAATGTATTCATGGATCATTAATAAGCAGCATGAAAGTATACCTTAACATCCTAACATACCTTAACAGCTTTAATATGCATTAATAACAAACATTATACAATTATAATATTTGTTATTATCATAATATTTGTTATTAATGTAGAGTAAAGATATTAAGGTATGTTATGATGTTAAGGTATACTTTCATGCTGCTTATGAATGCTTTATGAATGCATTATGAAGGTACACTGAATGTTCTGTGAATGCATTATTAAGGCATTATGAAGGTGCTGTTGTAAAAGTGATTCTTCTATTTACTGTCCCCTTAAATGTTTATAAGGGTATAGATCCTTAGCCTGATGCTGAGGCTGGAGGGGTCCCGATCTGTCTGGGATGTAATAAAGACACCAGCAGCTCATCAAATCTAACTGTGGCGGGTATTTAAGTCACGCGCCGGTGGACCAGAGACCCGCATGGGGATATCATAGCTGTGGTAATGCGAGCAGGGAGAATGTTGACATTTATCATCCGTTTGGGCCTCTCTTGCCTTGAGGGAGTTATTACCTGGTATTTACCTAAAATAAATTACCATAGTTTCATGTTAATTATGTTAGTGTTGCAAAATAATGAATGGGGCAGCAGATGATCGATGTATGGGTTCGAGTTGGACTGAGACATCTCGGGGTTGAAGATGGGATAGCGTGAAGGAAGAGGCTGGCGTTTGAAGCCGTCCATGGGTGAGAGAGATGCTGGTAGGCAGGGCTGTGATATTTGGGATACGGCTTGGAGGTGCCTGAATGTACAGGCTCAGAATTTTCCAGGAAAAATGGGAGATAAAATTTAGGGCATCCGTCCTGTCATCGTAGCTTTGGGGGAGCGATCCCCTCCCTCTCGTTTGTAAATGTGCACCAGTCTGGCATGCTTTATAAAAGGGGAGGCGGGGCGGTGGCTGAGACTGGAGCAGCACCCCTCCCCCGGTTTGTGGGGGGGCAGCAAAAGGCCGAGCTTTGTTTCAGTCCTTTCGAAAAGCGGTAACCAGGGCTCAGGGATCACCCAGCCTTCGCTTCATGCTCCGCTCTCCGCGAAGACGAGGAGCATTGAAGTGGAAGATCTTAGCCAGGAGAGACGCTGTCGCTGGTGCTGAAGAGAAAAAAGCCACAGCTAGTGCAGGAGGGAAGGGAGCCATTTACATACACACACTCCTTCCTGTAGAAATAGGGCAGCCATAATAGGCTTAACAGACAGCTTATGAGGAGCCTGAGAAACTCATAGGCTGTGCTTAGTCTATCATTTTATGGATTAAATTGCTGAATTTAGAATGTAGCAAGTGAGTAAAATAGCTGATTAGAGTCCCTGAGTCATTGCCTGGATTCCTTGTTAAGAGTCAGGGATTGTGGCCTTGGGTGTGGAGGACGCCGATGACAGCTGCAGCATAGTCTGCAGGAAAATAAGCTGAACACTGACCTCCCAAGGGAGGATCACAGCTGTATCGGTGCTCAAGATCCTCTGGGGGAGGCAAAGAGGGCGGCCCTGCTGGCTCAGCTGCTGCCGGGCTCGACTCGGTACCATTTCCACATACTCACCTGGTCTTCTGTGTCTGTCCCCTGTGACCACGCAAGGGATGCGGCGAGTGACTCACTGCACAGGTAGGCCCGGCGACTCGATGCTGTCTGGGTGCCGTGAGCTATGCGAACAGGGTTGCCTTGTCTGCCACGCCTAACCTCACCGCCAGCTTGCTGAGAGGTCGAGAGACGTAGCCTCTTGTGGGCACACAGTCACCTTCACGCATGTTGGACATGTCTCGACCCTTTTAAAGAGTCACAGGGTCACATGGAGAGCTGCCATGGCCACTTGGGTTTGGGTTGGACTGAATGGGGTGGAGTGGGAAGGCATGCGTGTGTGATCATAACCAGCACGAGCCCCCTTTGGAGTTATTTCCAGGCTGTAACCTGCACTGTGCACCATCCACACAATTACAGGCTGGAAAACACCATACAGCATAAAGAACGACCATAAAAGTGCTAGTAGTAAGCAATTTGTGGGCATTCTCAGGTGCTTCTGGATCTTTGGAAAGCTTAAATCATACTGGTTTTTATGGGCCGCCCATGAATTTTTATGGATTGTCGATGCTAGCTATGATTGACGTTAGCCATGCTTTCGGTTGATGCCGCGGCTGGTTCGCTAGCTGGTTATACCAGAGGGGTACCGCCACCTTCAATATGTTCATTTTCTCCCAGATCCGACACACTTTTGTCCTGTTCACCACAGGATTTCCACAGAGCCCCAAGACGCTCATTTGGTTGCTTATTAAATTGCCCTGGCTTTCATAGCCTCAGGGTAAAGGAAGAGAGACATTCTTAAGCTTTTCTCGTGGACTTCATTGAAAGGTGGATCTTTTTTCAGCTGATGAGCGTGCACAAAATGTATTTTTTTCTGGGAACTTTTTTACTTCTTCCACTGTTCCCAGTCTCTCCCTCTCTGTTTTTACAGGGACGGTGAAATAGGTATATTTTAAACTATATTAAAGCAGACTGAAAAAAATTACCATGCTGTCATTTTGGATTAGGAAAGAGAAACATCAGCTTAGAAGTAGAGATAAGGCAGGACTGAAACATGCTCATTTCAAGCTGACTTAACCACATTAGAGTCCATTGTCAGCACTGCAGATCTAATCTGACGTTTCTGTAGTTCTGCTGAGCAGCAGAAGATCCCAGCATCAGTGTCCTTTAGACGAAGATCGTGAAATTATGAGGGCAGAGGAGTAATTTAGGGGAAATCGAGAGTATCTGATCACTCGCAAGCCCGGCTTTGTAGCGTATAAACCCTGTTCTATCCCCAGTATAATTAGATCACAGAAATGAGATTTAGTGTCTTTCGCAGTTACAGTTCCAGAATTTTCCTTCTGTTATTTGTAATAAGTAGCTTGTCCTTGCCCAGTGCGTGGCCTAGCTTCTGTGTAGCGCTTGAGAAGGGGAGAATCCTTTGCATTTGGCCATGACTTTACTGTGGTCTAACTGGCCCACCCCCCATCCCCCCCCCCAACCCCACCGGCCCTCTGCCACACTCTGCCTAGTAACCATGCAGATTTATCTGGACCATCCAGCAAATCGCACCAGATCTTCGGAGGCCCCCGAGTCCCATGCGTCGCCACTGCCCTCCCCTGCTCTGACTGCGGCGCCCCAGCCGGGGCTCTTCACGGCCTCAGCTCTCCTCCTGCCCTTCAGAACCCCCCTTGCCCAGGCCCCATCCACCCCTTTGGGGGCTCCCGCTCACAAAAGCCCGATAAAATCCCCCAACCAGTACTTACAGATCTGTTATTAAACTGGAGCTCATGGGAGCGATGGTGTGATCATTGTGTTCTGTCAGTCACAGCCCTGGTTTGTCTCGCTTCCAGACGGGAGGAAACCATGCAGTGATTCCAATGCACAGTAACCCCACCCACTATCAATTTTAAGGCTTACATATATAAAATTATGTGTATAAATATTATGTATATATATAGAATATATACATAGTGTGTAAATAATTTAAAATGCTTGGTTGTGTTTTGGAATGCTAAATAGCTATTTTGTCACTGGTGTTTCTTCCTGCATGCTTGCCCTGTGCATGATAACCTGTATCACACTTTGTTTCTGCCACAGTTTGGGTTATTGTGTGTTGATGCTTGATTTTGTCTTGCTTTGTTTTTGATTGGTCTCTTGCTCTTTTTCCAGTGTGAGCCTTGTTTGTGTTGCTCTGTTCTTCCTCCTCCGTTCCATCCTGTATATTCCATTCCTTCTGTGTACTCTTTTGTTCCTCCTCCTCCTTTTTTGCTCACTGGGAGATCTTGTCTCTTCATTCAGCTCACCTTGTCATTTAGCCTCTTAACTCCAGCCTGTAATGTGAAAGGGTTTTTAATAAAATCAACTGAAATTCTCCACCATGACATTGGCTGAGCTGTCCTTTATCCTCCGTGTGTCACTCATTCATGTATCTTTTCCAGCACACTCCCAGTCCTGACCCCTGTGGGACTGTGTTCTGAAGCTCTCTGTTCCCTTTTTTAGAGGAAGGCTATGTGAAAATGTATCTGAAGGGCCGCCCCGTCACCATGTACATGCCCAAAGACCAGGTGGAATCCTACTGCCTGGAGGCAAAGTCAGAGCTTCCATCCAAGAAGCTGAAATTGGATTGGGTGTATCCTTTCCTGCTAGGCTGGGGGGGCAGTGCTCTCACTCATCTCACATGCACCATCATCATCAGCACTGTTGAGGCCATGCAGTTTCTGAAAACCACAGAGGTTCGTACTGTTTTTTTTTAAGTTCCCCTTCCATGGACACCTCGCATTGCCCAAAATGCTTCTCAGAAAAGCTGACAGAAATGAGCCATGCCAAACGTTGCTCATTCCAGTTCATTTTATGTTTGGTTTGTTTTTTTTTTTCGTTTTTTTGACGTGATGGCTTTCTGGAGCTGCCCGCAACGCCTCAGCGGCTCTGGTAGATACACACAAAGCCGGCGACAGCATGTGATCCGTCAATGAATGATTTTCCCAGATGTATTTTGGAACACACCGAATCAGACTTTGATCACCGCGAGCATGTGTGTGTTTGGTTCGGTTCATTATTGTGTCATTCAAATGGAAAATTCCATTCAGGAAGCACTGAATTGTTTTTATAGTATTTTTATACAGGTTTGAAATGGCCTTTTTCCATCTGTGACTTTAATAGTGAACAGTACTGAGCTTGAGTGGAATCAGTCATTTTAATACACAGCGGCTGTTTAATTAGGCTGCTGTCAAGGTCTACTGCTCCATTCTATGTTTTATTATGTGTTAGTCAGATAGAACAGAACCGGTGCTCATTTTTACAGTCAAAATCCTCCTTATCAAAATCAGTCAAACATTTTTTGATAAATGAAAAGAATGACTTGCAAAATTATTATTCTGTTAGGAAGATCAAAAATCTCTGCATAAACACAAAAGTGCAGATCTTATCTAGCTGGAATGTTTCTTGTGCCTCAGTCCTGTGTCTCACCTGTATATTGGTGGAAATGGACACATTTTCTTCTGAATTACTGATGCCTGTGATGCATCCCTCCCTGTAACAAAAATGAGAACATAATCGAACTTCCCGCAACATACAGTAATATTAGCTCTAAACCAAACTCCCTTCTAATGAGATGTTCTGAAACAGGCATGGTGTTTTTTCCGGGGGCTGATATTGTCATCGTTCGCCACTCAGCCTTCCCGCTCACCGTAATCCCAGACTGAAGCTTACTCACAGCATTGGAATTGGATTCACATTCCTCCGAGATTGTGTACCTACTGAATATTTATTAAATTTGATCTGGTCCCTGACCTCGTCTGCCACCGAAGGAAATTGCCGAATTACCAAAAAAAACATGGTGGTATGTTTTGATTTATCTAATTCCATGGTGTTTTTCAAGCCCCACAAGATTTTGTGCAAGAAGCAACCCAAAGAATCTCTTTCTCCACAGATTATTCAGTACAAATTATTTATGCCCCAAGGACGCAACCCGGTCCTTGGAGCCTCCCAGACAGTCCACATTTTTGCTCCCGGTAAAATGTGGACTGCACTGTACAACCTCCAGGTTTCTGTGCTCCCTGCTTTTATGTTCCAGTCAGAGGACAGACAAAAGGCTCCCCTGTCACCAGATTTAGAGATGGCAGACCATCCTGTTAGCCTAAAGCATAGCAGGCATATAGGGCAAATGAACGATATAAAAGATAAAAATAACAATACATATTTAGAAATATGTTAATATTTATATAGGCCTGATATATTTTTCTATTTTATATATATATATATATATATATATACACACACACACACACACACAGAATATATTCTTGTGTCATTTGTATTTCTATCTTTAAGTATCAGTAAATGTACCTGAAATCTGTTACAGTTATTGAGAAAAAAATACGTAATTAAATTACAGTTTCTAATCATCATGTTGGTGATTACAAAGGGGTCACTTGAATATATTCTTTTGAATAAAAATGCTTATATGTAGATTATAACGTTCATTTTGTTGTTTTGCATCTTTTCGCAGTTTAGAAACACCGCATTTTCAGCAAAGCTGCTGGGACATTTTAGCTTTATTGCTCTGTTTAAAACATTTGTTAGAAAAGTATTCAAAACATGATCACATGTAGTAAGTTACATTACTTTGATGAAGTATCAAAATAGTTACATTACTTTCAAATTTTGTAACGGGGTAACTGTTACATTTCATGTTACCTTCTCGTCACTGCTTGTTTTGAGCTCCATGTTTGGCACCGAACCACAACAAACTTCTTACTTAAAGTAGCCTCTGACTTCTGATATAACAAGGAAGAAGATGTGTATCATTGTTATATGAATACAGTTAAATTGTTTAAATAAGGAATGTTACATTAAGTGGAATGTAAGCAGTTATTTCAGAGGGCCTGCCACCAGAGGGCCCTGTCCTCCTGCCGCTGCTATGTTCCCTGACCCTAACCTAGCTATGGGTACCGTGGGCGTGACTGCCGCTCCAACCTCTACCTGCTGCCCACGGGAGAGACGGTCTACTTCATCGCCTCAGTGGTGGTGCTCTACAATGTGGACGAGCAGCTGCAGCGCCATTACACTGGTCACACCGATGACGTCAAGTGGTAAGAGGGGTCAGAGGTCGTGGGGGAAAGGCTAGGGGGGTCACCTGACATCACTGTTCAAGGATAGCATCTCATACCACTAGTATTTATTCACTAAGGACATACATAGTGGTTTTGTGTACAAAGATCAACAAAAAGTCATTTATAATTCATTACCCAGTTAGAGCAATTTATCGCTGTAGCAAACATGAAATTTGTTGCACTCATACTCTTCACATTCTGATCAAACAGCAAAATCAAGGGACCCAATTAAATGGTTTTAGAGGAGCTGTTAATATCGCTTATAGCTGTTGACATGTAGGAAAGCTGGAGAGACATTCCTCACTGCGTGTTTTCTCTTGTGGAGCAGGATTTTCAGAAGTCAAGCTAATGAAGAAGGCTCATAGCTCATATCGTGTTAGTTATTTAAGGTCATGGAGCTCAAAACATTGATTATACACTTTATGGCAGAACTTCAAAGGGTTCCTTGCATTAAAATTAGATAAGGGAGAAGAAGGGTGGGGAAGAAAGGCAATTTAGGATAGCGCCCCCCCATTTCTGGATCTCTTTCAACCTCCTGTCTTTTTTCCTCTATCTGACTCTCTCTCTCCTTCTCACTCGCTCACTCACTCACTCTTTCGTTTTTGTTCCACCCACATCTCCAAGGCTTCTGCTCCTCACATGTGATCACAGTATGTCAAAGCTCTTCACAAAGAGTCCTTCTGCCCTGGTTCATTCGTCTTCTCCACAAGCTCCCTGCCTGCATGAGACAGGCCTTCCTGAAATAGACAGCCTCCTCATTGGCTGGGAGCAGTTAGGGTGGGATGGAATGGCTGGCAACCCTTTGTTAGCAAAGAAACCAGTTTCGGTGGCCTTATGCACTCTGCAGCCTGTCTGCTGGTGGACGGCGGTCTGCAGAGACCAGAAGTAGAAGGTTCAGGTCTAGAAAGAATTAATCCAGATCAAGATTTTGTTTCAACCAACCAGTTGAGTATAAAGACTCACATTCACAGAGTACTCAACTGGTCGATTGAAACAAAATCTTGATCCGGATTTTTACCTTCTGGACCTGAACCATAGGCATCATTAAATCCAATCACTGGGGGCTCCAGGTAAACTTGACCCTGATCTTTTCGATAGCTAAAAACTCCCCTGAAAATCTAATCACATGACGCATTTTTGTGTGTTACTGTGTTCTATCTGCAGTATATCCATCTGCTATAACCTGTACATGTGTGTGAAGGTGGTTTTTAGGTAATTTTAATGCTTTGTTTTTGATATATATTATACTCTGAAAGCCAATGCTTCAGTGCTTAATTGCTACATTTATGTTTCGCACTAATATCTAAATGCTTGTTGGTAATTTATTGGATTATTGTTACACTGATGACTGATGCTTTAATGTTAAATGGCTTGATTTGCGTTATGCCCTTTCAGTTAATGCTTTAGTGCTAAATTACTGGATTTCTGCTATGAGCTGGTATCTAAAACATTAATGTGAAATTGTGTGTGGAATCATTCGCTTTAGTCTAATAGCCTCAATTTATTTACAGTCATAGATGAAAAACAATGACAGCACTGGCATTTTTAAAAGATCCATAATCCAGCCTTTACAAATCACTTAATATAATTTAGGTCTTTGTAAAGGAATAACAAAGGCTAATTTAATAGTTTTGAACCCTGTGTCAAGAGTAATGAAGTAAAGATGGCTCCAAGGGTCTGTCTGTCATTCATCCATCCATCTATCCATCCATCCATGCACCCACTCATTCGCTCGAAGCCCCCTTGTTACCATAGGCAGACTTCACTGCCCAGTGTCCCATTCTGTGACCAAGGCATCTGCCCACGTTTCAGATCGGGGATTTGGGATTTGGGGTTTGATGACCTGACCTTATAACGAAGGTGGGAATAATTAGGGCTGAGTCACCCACACGCCAGGGTGCAGGGTCACTGCTGCTCATTCCGGCAGGCCCTTCCCTGGCCCCCCCACTGTGCTCTTATCTCCTTAATACACCCCCCACCTTTTGATGGAGACTATGCTGGTGTGTCACTGAGCTGGAACAAAGCTGTTTGTGTGTGTGTGTGCGTGCGTGTGCAGCTGTGTGTGTGTGTGTCTGTCTGTGTCTGTGTGTGTGGGCTTTGATGCCTTTGTTAGGACGGGTCTTTAGGAGATGTTCACACACCTAAAAACACATGACATCCCCATAAAAGCAAAAGCCTGATTCTATTTTGACAGTTGCAAAAGTGAAATCTTTGAAATCTAGTGTGTATGCGTGTGCGTGTCTGTGTTTATGTGTGTGCATGTCTATATGTGTGTGTGTGTGTGTGTGCGCACTTGTGTGTGTGTGTGTGTATATGTGTGGTCAAAATATACCAAGGTAGAGCAAATGTCCCCACAACGTGATGAATACCCGTGTTTTTTTTACCTTATGGGGACCAGTTTCGTGTTAGTGTTACCATTTTTCCCATAGAAATGAATGAGTGGTCCCAGTGTGTGTGTGTGTGTGTGTGTGTGTGTGTGTGTGTGTGTGTGTGTGTGAAGGTGCATTTATGTGTAGCAACAATACCTTGGTAGAACATATGCTCCAACCCTGCCTTTGCAATACCTTACAGTATGAAATGTACGTATAGAGACCTCCAGGTGATTGTCCCACGGTAGCATTGTTTTCTTGATTTTTTTATCCATTTCTTGACTTCTTCCTCTCCATGTCATTTGCAGCCTGGCCGTCCACCCTGACAAAATCACCATAGCGACAGGACAAGTGGCTGGCACCTCCACCGATGGCAAAGTAAGCGACACCTCCTGCATGACTGTCCTGCATAAGGGTACATGACCCGTTCCACGGTGACACCACAGGGCCAAGCACTTCCGGAGCGTCGCCAATGACCTTGACAACCTTGGCACCAAAAGTAGTCCCTGCATGAGCGTGACGCTTTTAGACCTCCTCATTGGTGTTGGCCGCGCTTACCCAGCATGCTCCGTGCCCCCTCAGTTGCAGCCAGCTCATAATGCATACCCGCCGTGACAGATTGGAAGCAGGTGATGTAAAAGACGCGCGCTTGGAAGCTGTCGCTTCAATGCCGCTAATCTGATTCCAGGCCATTCTCGCTACCCTGCTGGAATGTGGACGCGTGTGGTAATACAACATAATTGAATCAGCAGGCGGCTTGCTTGCATTTCCTGCGCATTTGCCTGCGTTTCCTGCAGTATCTTATGGGGTCGATGTCGCTCTCGTGTCCATGAAACCAGAATTTTAGTAAAACGCAGGGGACTGAAGCATCGGCATATTAATGTGTCCCTGGTCCCGTGGGCTGGGGACATGGTCGGTGAGACGCATTTTAAACAGGCCACTATATTAGGTGCTGCCTTGCTTTGGCCTTTTTTGTTTGATATTAATGCTGAGTCTGATATTATTGCTGAGTCTGATATTAATGCTGAGTCTGATGTTAATGCTGAGTCTGATATTAATGCTGAGTCTGATATTATTGCTGAGTCTGATGTTAATGCTGAGTCTGATGTTAATGCTGAGTCTGATATTAATGCTCAGATATCCACCTAAATAGGTAAAAAGATCAAACCATCGTAGGAAAAAGCATCTTGCTTGTCAGGATCCTGCCGTATGGTTTTTTATATAGTTTCTATGAATAATAGTTATGAAACACGCATGCTCTTGACAGTTTCTGCATTTCTTATGAGAAGATCTGTGATGTGTGTTTGTGCCTATTCCTGTATGGAACATATAGAATTGTCCGTAGAATTAAAACACACAGATGCCATCTGCTTTCCTGTAGCCTGTGTGTTTATTGGGAATCCAGGCTGGTGATCCAAGTGTGAAACTGAACGACTCCACATGTGATACTGTGGGATAAAGAGGGCACATTCCCGCTTTGGATTTGCCAGGAATGGTGTCCGGCCGACTCTCTCTGTTCTTCCCTGACAGCAGTTGCCCCCCCACGTGCGGGTGTGGGATTCGGTGAGCCTGAACACGCTCCACGTCCTTGGCTCCGGCTTCTTCGACCGCGCCCTGGCCTGCCTCTCCTTCTCCAAATCGGTAAGCCTCCCACACCTAATCACTGAAATCTCGTCCTTGGGACTGAGACATAAGCCCCTATGTCTCTCACTGCCATAAGACATTCAGGGTTGTTCATTGTCTTCTCGTACCTCCTGGTTTCATCCCATACATGGTGTTTCACTGTTCAGCTGTAATTGATAATCAGTACAGAAGATGGATATCTTGTCACATTTAAGTTACACTTTACTCTTTGCTTAAAGATAACATCGGAGGTTTTGCTGAAGTATTACTCCTCTGTTAGGTCTCCAGAAGAGTCAAGGTCACAAGAGTGACAAACGAGTGTGTTTCTGTGGCCACTCCACGTGCCCGCTGTGAACAGCAGTCGGAGCGGGAGCAAGGTCCTTGCAAACCCATTCAAACCCGATTTGCTCTGCTGAAATATCTACCTTTATAGAAATGGGCAAAATTGTGTTTTGCTTTGGACAAAAACATCGGCTGAAAACACCTCACATCGCCGATTGTGCTACTACTGGTGATGAATGTAGCAAATAAAACTGCTTTTTTGTCCTCTGTCAGTGTAATTCTTTATGCCTTTGTGCTGTGTTGAGACCAAGATCTATACAGAAAACGTCATGCTTCAGGACTTCAGAATTGAAAACAACTCACGACGTGTTGGGGGTTTGTAACCATGTCAAATCTAACTGCCTTCCCTGTCACTGTAGAACGGGGGCGGTACGCTCTGCGTGGTCGACGACTCCAACGACCACGTCCTCTCCGTGTGGGACTGGCAGAGAGAGGAGAAGCTGGCTGATGTCAAGGTTTGTTAGCCATTAGCTGTGTCATGCTATCTAGTCTTAGCACCTTTACAAATATGTCTGAATTAAAATTCCACTCAAGCTGATCTCTGAACTCTACAGTAAGAGAAGATCTGTACAGATCAAAATCAAGCTTTTTAGTGCTAATAGAGACTCCCATATGAGATGGTTTATAGTGGCATAGTGTTATCTATCCTTTTGCACGAATCCCTCAGGAAAACAGTGTTTACAATGCAACAATGACGAACACATGATGCATGACTGAAGTGGTGTTTAGTGCAGCCTTTTGAATCCAGTTTTTAGATTAATTTCTTAAATGTCTCAACTAGATTGTATTTCCCTGTATGTTTAGATGTGTTTAGGTGTTGTTTGTTGATGCTTAAAGCAAAAAGATAGTAGGAGACATTCACAACATAGATTCTGGGTTCATGTGCAGTTGTTTGGGTGTCACATGACAGCCTACCCCTCACCCAATCCCACGTGTGTCCTGCAGTGTTCAAACGAGTCAGTTTTCGGCGCCGACTTCCACCCCACCGACACCAACATAATTGTCACCTGGGGGAAGTCCCACCTCTACTTCTGGACACTAGAGGGCAGCTCTCTTGTGAAGAAACAGGGCCTCTTCGAGGTACGGTATGGCATACATGCAGGAAGTCAGCTGATGCAATCACGTGACCCAACAGTCAGAAAGATGCAAAACACAGAGATGAAAACCAAGTTTCTTAAGGAATGCATGTTAGTCTTATATTAGTTAGTATTATAACCTGAATGATTTGATTTTTTTGTTAAGAAAGTACTGCAAATTTAATAATAACTGTTTCCCATGCCAGGGGTAAAACCTTTCTCACCACTGCATGTTACACATCCATTGCACATTTTCACTGTCTGCATACAGTTAATCTTGCCGGCCAGTGCTCTGCTCCTGTGTGTCCTATTACAGTGTCACACTACCTGCCGCTCCCCAAGCACCAGAGTGTGAGCTGTGGTTGATCCAAGCACTGGCTTCTCAACTCCCATACTTAATGCTGCCTGAATACAAATGGGCCAAATCATGATGTGTTAAATGGAAAATCTGCCAAATAACTGCATTTCTGAGGAGATCTGCAGTTCTCGACCCCTGCCATGAGAAAGGGAATTTTAAGAACGTTAGCCGGCAAAACACCTCAGAGAGGACTGTCTAGCTGTTGAGCTCAGATTGTATCTGCATGCTGTGTGTGTGTGTGTGTTTTTTTTTTTTTAACTGTTCGACCTGAAACAGGCTGTCTTAGTAAAAGAACCAATGTTTATGTTTCTTTCAGAAACAAGAGAAGCCCAAGTTTGTCTTGTGTGTGACTTTTTCAGAAAATGGTGACACACTAACAGGAGACTCCAGTGGAAATATTCTTGTCTGGGGCAAAGGTAAAAAATATAGGAATATGTGCTGAAAAAATACAAGCGTTCCGTTTCACAAACATGGATGGTTTATCTACAAACTCAGGGATTACCGAATATCCAGGTCATTTTCAAATCTATGCTTCTAGGGAAAGCATTCAAAAGAACTCGCTGTTTCATTATTCAAACAACGGTGTCTAAAGTAATCAATCCAGAAAATATGCCACTTTTTTGGACTCATTATTTTGAGACCTGAGTTGCTCCTCACTATGGCAGTGATGATGAACACAAGTAGATTTTAATTGTTGCTGGTCTTACCAAAGAAATGACTGTCCTTCCATTGCCGTTTGCTTTTCGGAATATCCATGCACTACTTCCACACGGACCGACGTGCCATAAACACACATCCACCGTGTCTTTCAGGTACTAACCGCATCAGCTACGCCATCCAGGGCGCCCACGAGGGCGGGATCTTCGCTCTCTGCATGCTGCGCAATGGCACGCTGGTGTCTGGAGGGGGGAAAGACCGGAAGCTCATCTCCTGGGATGGAAACTACCAGAAAGTCCAGGTGGTGGAGGTGAGACAGGAGACAGGGTTGTCGGGTTAAACAATAGCCATTGTTTTGGCAGTTTTCACAGGGATAATTTTCAAATAACAGCATGAATGTTACTCCTTTACATAATGACCAGGATGAAAGTAAAGTAAAATACTAATACTAATAAATACTAAGAAAGTAAAATACTAAAATCAAAGGTTTTAGGACCGAAAATGTGGTCAAGAGCATAGATTTTGGTATGAGTGGTAGGGATTTGTCCCTAACGTATACCTTGTAAAACAAAGAAGTACCGTGTGTGTTTAGGGGTGCATGGGTTCGGGACCGATTTAGTAGCACTGTAGCACAGTAGTGTTGAGGTATTTGAGACAAATCTTGGTCTTGAGACCGGTCTTGGTCTCGTCTTTATTTTGACTCAGTCTTGTCTCAGTCTCGGACATAAAGGACTAGAGGTTTTATTTCAAGGCCATTCAAGAGCAAAACGCTTCAATATTTATCACAACAGCTTAATATTCATCTGTCTGTTAATCCTTAGAAACTGACAAACGCAAAACTTGCTGGTTTTCGCACCCATTAATCTCAGGTTTGTAGGTTAGGTATAACACACAGACATTAATCGCTGATCTTTGCAACTGAGCAAAATTACTGGATCTGGTTGTCCAAATTGCATCATTGTGTGCTAAAATATACCAGAGTAATCCTTTGCTAAATGAGGCATATGTTTCAAACATTTTTCATGAAGAAGCACCCCTAATAATCCATAAAACATTTGTATTATTCTCATTAGACGGAAAACAAAGGACATATTCGCTTCTGCAATGATTCACATACAACCCGTCTGGGAAAAAATATTTATTTTATAATTTGATTATTATAAGCCTATTAATAAAGGGATAGAAAAACACTAAAAAATGGGCTACTCGATCTACTAGAAATAACAAAACACAGCAGTCTATTTATTAGGAAGACAGTTACTTGATATTTTCACAATATTTATTCACAAAAGTCTGTATATATGTGTGTTTAATGCCAAGTTCCATCAAAATAATTGAAATAGAATACATATACATACATACACACACACAGTAAAATCCAGTTATAACAGACTTCAAGGGTCCTGGCAAAACAGTCCGTTATATCCAGAGTTGCTGTATGTCCAGAACACAACACAGGACACCATTTACTCATGCCACACCCCAGCAGACACACTTGTGGTACAGATTATTATATTATGGTAATCCAACTTTACCTGACCAGATGCGTGACTATTAATAATCCCGACTACGTATCTGCACTGGATATCACCGGCACGCCCGCTGATATAACCATGCATTGCTGTCTATCAGATANTATATTGTACATGTAGTAATCCAACTTTACCAGACCAGATGCGTGACTATTAATAATCCCGACTACGTATCTGCACTGGATATCACCGGCACGCCGCTGATATAACCATGCATTGCTGTCTATCAGATAACTTCAACAAGTTAGCAAATGGATGCTAAATCAAAGATATTGATTTCTGCCTGGCACTAACCATATATTCCTTCATAATACTAAGCCATAGAAAGACTCCACTTTAAACATTTATAAGATTCTATTTGTAGTGCCTGCAAATTTTTATATTAGATGAGACTAAAAATTGAGAATTTTTAGTAGGCGCAAGTAGTTTTTCCTCATAAGGATGATATCAAGACTATGTCAGCATTTACACATAAAATTTGACATATCCAGCCCAGAATGTTCTGAAAGCCATAAAGCATATGTGGCTAACTCATGTACATACAATGTAATAAGCCTACAATCAAAGGGATAGAAAAATGCTCATAAATGGATAGGGTTCAAAGGGTTAACACAGTACTGTGATTGGTGTAAAATGTCCTGCTTCAAAGTTCAAATGCAGCCAATAAGGTTTGTCTTATTTGAAAGAATGTTACATTTGTACAGAAGCATTCATATATGAAATTTTCAGAAAAGACATCCATGGTTCAAATTATACCATGACACAAATGTTACGCCATACTGCCTAGTCCCAGGCTGATGCCTGTGCTCCACATTTCATAGTGTGTTGTGTTACATACACTCAAACATTAATCTGCTGTTGACTACATCACTATAGCACAGTAGACTCTCACTTCCAGGGTTTGAGGCTTGATTCCCAATTTCTTCTTTGTGGAGTTTGCATGTTCTTCCTGTGTTAGGGTTGGCTCCTTACTGCAGTACAAAAACATGCGTCTAAAGATGTAAATCAGTGGTCTGGACTTTCTGGTTGCTGTTCCGGGCAGGGTCTGTCCCACACTGTAATCCCTTGGATGGTCTCCAGACCCATCATAAATCAGTTCTGGATAAGCAGTTATGGAAGATGAATGGTTGAATTACGTGAAATTGGCTACATGTTAAAAATTTGAACATGTTGGCCAGCAGCTCAGACTGACACAATAAGTCAGTTCATTTTTATTTACAATACAGTCTGCTGTAGCTTATTGCTGCCCTCCCTCCCCCAGCAGCCTAACAAATGCCGTTAATTAAGCGGGAGGCATCTGCTGACGAGTTGGATGATGAACATAGGATTCCAGTGCATTGCAAGCAACCAGGATCGCATTTCAAAGCACATCCCATAACACAGGGAAAAAAACAGCAGCACAACACTGAGCTCGGGAGCTCTTTGTGTCAAGTGTTCTTGCTGTCACCATCATTAAATCTGCCATCGAGGAAGATTTGTGGCTGCGTGATGCTTGTGCTGGGATAAGTTCATTACTCTAACGAGCTTTGAGCTGGCGGTTAATTAACAAGCCGACTGCTGCTGCTACCTAATTGTGTGCATTCCATGGTATTTAATAATGCCCATCGTGTCTGCACATGTGAGGCTTCTGTCAGAGGGGATTATGACATTATTTAAATGAGACCACCAAGGGACGGGTCTCGCCCCGGTCCGGGAGCGTATTCGGGGCGTGTGTGCGCGCACATATTAGCCAGCTGCTTCTTTAAAATGTCACCCGCAGATTCCAGAGCCATACGGCCCGGTGCGTACAGTGGCCGAGGGAAAAGGGGACAGCGTGCTCGTTGGAACCACGCGGAACTACGTCCTGCGGGGCACGCTGGCTGGCGACTTCATGCCCATCACCCAGGTGCGTGCCATCACGGGAGGGGGGTGTCTGAGATCAAGCCGCGTGTGTTAATATAAGGTTTATGATGAGACTGCAGTACCTGGGTGTGCTGATAGGTGAGTCCATCTGGACTGTTAAACAGACATGTGTCAGACTGCAGGATGCTGGTGGTAACTTCATTTCAGATTAAAAATTTTTATTAAAATGACTTTATGAAGATTTCTTTCTTAGTGTGCTCTTCTCTCTCGTGTTTTACACCTGAGAGGAGGGAACACGTGCAAGGCAAATGAGTCGATGGTTGTCTAGACCTGGCCCAGATATGGTCGCGATGTCCCTGCAGGGCCACACGGACGAGCTTTGGGGCCTGGCTGTGCATCCCTCAGAACCACAGTTCCTCACCTGTGGCCATGACAAGCACGTCAGCCTGTGGAACTCCTCCACCCACCAGCCAGTGTGGACCAAGACGATGGAGGTATAGAGCGCCCCCTGGGGGCCATACCACTCACATGCATTCTGAAATGCAAACAGTCCAAGATTGTTTATATCTTTACCTTCCGGCCTGAGTAATAATGGCTTTTACGACAGTGTTTGCAGGAATTAAAGCAAACAGGACGATGATACAGAATGCTAATGAAGGCGTGTCCCACGGGGCTGCTTAAAGTGCTCTTTGTTCCGTTGCTTGGCTAGGATGCAGCCCAGTCTGCCGGTTTCCACCCCTCCAGAGAGGTGGTTGCCATAGGAACGCAGACCGGCAGGTGAGTATGATAGTCTAATGGCATCAGGCTTCTCACCTTCTACCTCACCCCCATCCTGTATGATAAACAAGTTAATGCAATGCCCACATTACATGTGATTTGTTTAAACCATATATAACATCCATGGAATGTTTATTTTTCTTTTACAGTCTGGTACAGGCCTTCTGCTGTGTACCACATCGTACAGCAAGACTAAATCCATGATATATTGCATTAATGTATTTAATAATTAACTGTGTCCATAGTCCATAGCTTTTTTCCTCACAACTGACATTTGTGGTGAAAGCCTGTATCCATTTACCATATTTTATTTATGAGGCATCAATGAGGGATCTTTACCTTGCGCAGATGGCTAGTCCTGGACACCGAGACGAAAGACCTGGTGACGGTGCACACAGACGGGAACGAACAGCTGTCTGTCATGCGATATAGCCCAGGTCAGCCTGTTGATGGGGTCCCCGGCTCTGCTAATGTAATGGCGTCATCCACAATAACTGTTATTTAAGTTAGAAGTGCCGTTACATTTTCATGGACTGATTTTCTAGTAGGTTTCACATGAGTGACAACTTATACTATAAGCCCGAACTTCATTGGAAACTGGGAAAATTATCTCCAGCTATGGGTCTGGTGTTGCTTCTTTGAAACATAGTCAAACTAGCTGTTCTTGACATATTTTACATTCTAAATCAAATCAAATGTTGTCTGGGTGACCACTTCATGTACGGAAAATACTTTGTTGTGATGCATCAATTTCAGTAACCAACTGAAGATAATGCTTCCTGTTCTCAGATGGCAATTTCCTCGCAATCGGATCCCACGACAACTACATCTACATCTACGCGGTGACAGAGAATGGCAGGAAGTACAGCCGAGTAGGGAAGTGCTCAGTAAGTTTGACCGGCCATGCATCTCTGAGAGCCCACCTTTCCAAAACCTCACCCTGAGCCATCCAGATACGTCCGTGTAAACCCAGTCTGTCTGCATTTAGAATCTTGGTTATTTAATTGTAGGAAGTCAAAATCTAATCTGTGCAAGATTTATAATGAGAATTCATGAAGAAAAATAATCACCACATATAACATTTAGCCAAATAACAGCTTTTATTTGATGCAAAGCATATCCAGTGCAGCCACATCAGTAAGTGTGTTTTTTCCCAGCAAGCTTGGCTTATTAAAGCTAGTGATGGTCAAATGAAGCCTCATGAACCATTTGCTGTATTTTTTGACCCCACTAGATGGTGCTCTTGGCTTGCTTTAGCCCTTTTTTGAACAGACAGCACCATCTGGTGGGGGTCAGAAAATACAAGTGGTTCATGAAGCTTCATTTGGTCATCACTAACTAAAGTCAGTGCTTTTTAAATTATTTTGTTATTAGGACAGATCTCCAAATCTAATTAATTTTCACATTGCTCACTATAAAGGTACCCATCTCATGGATGTGGAGCAACAGGTTAGGGTCGTCTTTAGCCTGTTAACCTCTTAGCTTGATCTTTGTGTCTCTCAGGGTCACTCAAGCTTCATTACCCACCTGGACTGGTCGGTGGACTCACAGTATCTCATGTCCAACTCAGGGGACTATGAAATTCTTTACTGTAAGTATGTTTACCATGAATTGCCCCTTTATATTATTATTTAAAGAGCATGTGTCCAGCCAGAGCCATCGCTAGGATCACAAGACATCTGTGGCTGAGCCCAGAGTTCTCAAACTGATAGAATGGTTGTTAAAACATCTGAGCTAAACAATACATCAAGGCTTTAGTGACTGTGACGTGTTTGTGTCCAGCTGTGAGGTAGACCTGAGCAAAGCCAGAGAACTTCTACACACGTAAGAGCACAAGGGCTGTTCATAATGGCTTAGGCTTATTTTGGTGATTACCTTTTCAGTGCAAGCTGTGAGAAACTGTGGATCCTTCGGACTATGGATGATTTTGTAGCATCATACAGGGATGTCCTGAGTTGTTGTTTATCATACCCTGTCAACTCTGGAAAGAAATGACACAAGACGGTCAGCAGGGGGCAGTATTAGCAGTGCTTGCATCTCTTTACGCTTTGAATATGTAAATTTTAAAAGTGTAATAAACTTTGTACATCAGCCGTTAATCTGTTATACTAGTAGCATTCATACAAATTAATATTCCACTGCTAGGGTTTTAATGCTAAATCAGACTAATCTTAATTATGGAGAATGAGAGTCAGAATTAAGCTGGATGTATTCAGGTAGAATCTCTTCCAGAATGTAGGAATTGAGCGCCATCTGCAGGGGACTAGACTGCATGTTAACATGTTTGATTGTATAGGGAATCCGGTTAAGGGTTGTTCCTTAAAAAATATGATTATGACCTATTCCCTTTCAGCAATAGTTTATGGTTTCATGATGCAAAGTTCTGTAAAGTTTAGTGTATATTGGGAACCTGGATAGGAAACCAGCCCATCAGTCACACACACATAAACACACATTGTTCTCGTTGGTCTGCCGTTCGCTGGCATTTTCATTACTAATCCCTATCTAATTAAAAAAAAAAATTCTCAAAACAGTATTTTCTTATAATAACATAAAGTTTTAAATAATAAAGATATCTGTTTTCAGTGGACATTCATACTGTGTTACTTAGGAGGTACTATTTTTGTTGAGGCATTTCTTCAAACTCCACAAAACACACACATTCCCACATTATGAACACCTGACTCATTCCTAGGCAAGTTCACATTCATGCAGAGTAAAACCTCAGTCTAACAATCATGAGGTCAGGTATCAGTTCCAGGTGAGTAAAACCTCCATCCATCTTCCAGATATTTCTCAAGAACACAGTCACCAGGGGGCTCTGAAGCTTTTCATAAATATAAATGATGTATTTATGAAGCATGAAACCTTTTTCCATGTGATAATTCCTTTTTAAAGGTCTTTTTAATTAAATCTTAAGCTTTTAAAAAATATTTCCTTATGTCTTCATCATCCTGTTTACTGGCCATGTTAAAAAATAGCCACTTTTGAGTTTGAGCTTGAAGATTGTGCATTAGGTTTGTAAAAACAGAAAAATTCAGATATTAGTTACACAGCTAATGCATAAAGGAAATGAGCTGAAACCCTAGCCCAGGGGTGGCCAATCTTATCCGCAAATGGCCGTTGGGTATTCGGGTTTTCACTGCGACTCCCTAATTGGATTACTGATTAGAGGTCTGATTGGCTGACGAGTCCTCATTCCCGGGTTTGAACAGCTGACCTAAAGGTTATCCCAAAAACCTGCATACACACCGGCCCTTTGTGGATACGACTGCCTACCTCTGGTTTAGGTTAATGCAAATTTTTGTTAATTATCATGTATTTTGAAACATTTTCCCCTGTGTGGGGTAATGCCTGTAACCAAATTAATCATTATTTAATTTTAGATTTACATTTTATATTCATTAAAAACTTATCCACCGTGACCCATTCTGTATTTATTAGCTGATAGTTGACCAGTGACATGTATCTACACACAAGTCAGTACAGAATATAATCAGTTCCACATTTCTCTTGGTTTAAACATAAAAATTAATTTAATTTTGGTAGTTTATTGTTTTTTTGTTTTTTTTTAACTTATTTTATATATTTTTGTGTAGGCTATTCTGTCTGAATGTACAATGGACAATTGAGAAACCTACCCTACTTACCTGAAGAACACAACTGACAAGAAAAAACAGTAAAACTTTACTTAATGAACTCATGTGTAATGCATTATAGATACTTTCATAATGCTTAGAGAGCATTTATAGTGTGTGAATAATGCACTATACTGTACATACCTTCATAATGCAGTACAAAGTGTACTGACCATTATAATGAATTATGATGGTATTTATAGTGCATTATAGATGAGAGCTACATAGAACATTCATAATGTATAATAAACATGGCTATGATGTGTAATGCCTTTTTTATGAATATAGTTGTGTTTATAATACTTTGTGAACGAAGGTATCTATAATGCATTATGATGACTGCTTAAAGTAAAGTGTTACCAAAAACACTCACTGCGATAGTTCTCCATGACACGCGCTGTCTTGGAAACTGATTGGCCAGTACCTCTGTCCCTAGGGATCCCTTCGGTCTGCAAGCAGGTGGTCAGCGTGGAGACCACCCGTGACATCTTGTGGGCCACCTGCACCTGCACGCTGGGCTTCCATGTGTTTGGTGAGCTTGTCCCCATGGAGATAACCTTGGTCCAGATGACCAATATCACTTCTGTGATCTGTGATACGTATCAACAGATTCTTAGTCAAATAAAATTGAATAGTGCATGGAATTTATAGTGAGTAGGACAGAGCTTGTTGCTTAGTATTCAGGCTTGGTAAGAAAACGAACACAAACAGTCATATTTAAATTAAAATCAACTTGTGTTTAATCAGGACTCTGGCCAGAGGGCTCGGATGGAACGGACATCAATGCTGTCTGCAGATCCAATGAGAAGAAACTGCTTGTCACTGGTGATGACTTTGGGAAGGTGCATCTGTTCTCGTACCCTTGCTCACAATTCCGGGTAAGATTCTGGACCAGAAGTGTGACAAGGACAGCAGTGGGGGAGCAGACGGTGCATGTCTGACTCTGACTTTATTTCTGTGTCACCAGGCACCCAGTCATGTCTACGGTGGACATAGCAGTCATGTGACCAATGTGAACTTCCTGTTTGACGACAGTTACCTAATCTCCACTGGAGGGAAGGACATGAGCATCATGCAGTGGCGGGTGGTATAAAAGGACTCCCCGGGCACGTGGCGAGTGTGTCTGCTCGGGACCGAGCGCGGGTGGGGCTGTCCCCGAGTTCCAAAGATGAGAGCAAAGAAATGACACAGCAACGGCCCGTGGGTGACACAACTGGCTGGATTTCCCTCTTGTGTTTTGTAGTATTTTATTATATTATATTTGTATTTCACTGCTCAGGAAAACTAAAGAACCGTGATATTTGAAATTGCCGCAGCTTTTTATGCCTCACAAAAGTGACACCATCTGGCCTCCGAATTCCTTTCTGCTTTGGAAATGCAAGCAAAATCTTTTTTACAGACTAATTTGCATGAATTTTGACCACCAAGAATTCATTAAAAATATTACGTATTTGGAGTCCTAACTCACAGTCTGTTCTGAATTCAGCTCTGTCACAATAATGCCTTTCAGAGACTGTAAACTCTTATTACATTCTCTGTGCTATTTACAATTCAGAGCTTAGTATAGTTCCTCATGCTTATATGTGGCTTCAGCTGCAATTCTACTGCCACCCTCTGATCAACTGAGGAACTGCACTGCTCTGCCTCAACCGAGTCGACTGTGCTGTTTCATAGTTTAAAACCCCTTCTCCCTCTTTTTTTAATCCCTTTTTTAAACACACTTATAATGCTAATCTCTGAAATGTGGAATAAAAAATGTAAACTTGGAGCCAGTGCACGTATTGCAGAACTGACCTGCTGCCTTCCACTTTATGTTGGACGCGGTATTTCTCTTTTAAACCTTATTACTTTCTATAACCAAGAGTAAAAGTGCATTTAGTTTCATTACCGGTTGCACTTATCTACATCTGAAGGATAATGTTTTCAGTTTCTGAAAATTTGAATGCTGTAATTTGCATTATACGTTTCCTAAGCAGTAATCCAGTCTCTGAATAAGTAAGCAGCACCTTATACCCCATATATCATAACGGGAAATTGCATGCAGTTCACAAAGCTCCTTGCAGTTTGGTATTTTTATGGATATGAGAAAAACCCTAAAAATAAACATTTTCCATATCTGTCGCCACTTAGGTTTGGTACTTATTAACACCATGGGGCAGGCTCCCATGTCTTAATAAAAGCAAATCTTATAATGGCTACATTGTCTAGTTTTGCTCACAGTGGTGTCATCTGGCTTTTTATTAACCAGGCTCACCAACGATTAAGCACGTCAAACAAGCATAAGTCTATCCACTATGGAAATGTACTATCGCATAAGCCACAGGTGCTTTTGCTCAGACAGTATAAATAAGCTTTATACATTTTTTGTTTTTTTTTTTTCTGGCAGGAAATTTATTCTGGCCAGAATAAATTTAGCTCGGTTGTGACTGTGTGTTTCCAACTCAAACATACTGTTGTTTCACATATGCGACTACGTGAGTGACCACAGCGGCGCAGCTTAAAATGACTTCTGCTCCTGTCGCATATCTTGCGTGAAGAGGATGATGCAGGTTACTGTTTGAGAAGTGTGAAATGAAGTTGAATTAGGAAAACTTGCAGTGATGATTGTT